TGCTGATTCGCCAGATTCTGCCGAGCCAGGCCTTTTGCAAAGCCTTTCGGTTCCCCCCCAAAATGTTGACTAAACTAGCCATGGGCATTATTCCTTGCACTGGTAAAGGCCAAGGGCCAGAATAGCATCTACGCCGTCGTCGATAGGGTCAGAAAATATGCTCTCTTCATCTCTTGCATTAATTCTTCAAGTTAAGAGTCAGCAGGTCGCTTCACTACTTTCAAGGCCGGAAGCCTCATGGTTTTCCTACGAATGCTACAAGCAGGGGTCCGTAGCTCGCATGCCTTCTAGACCCGTGCAATCGCTGGCCATAAAAGGAACGCTGCAAACCACCCTGCGGCAGTTGAGCAGATAGATTGCACCAACCGCACCCTTCTGCAGCATTTGACGCTCTCTGTTCACAAGAAACAATTCCTTGGCTTGAGATTATTCATTCTACCGGGTAAAATTATAATACAGCAGTACACTCGTCTATCCATTCCTCTCTTGCATACCTAGTCTACCCTGAGGAGCCCCTGTCCCATCGGGGACTTGACCTACAATTCGTGGTCAGCAGCCACTCTTTGCAGTAAGAGATTCACGAAGGAACTGAGTGGTGCACGCAAATGTGTACGCAAAGCTGACAAAAGGGAACCATGAATTTATGGTAAGTAGCGCTCGGCTGCGTGTTTCGAGCCGAGATTTGGATTCAGAGGATCAGCAGACATTTACTGCACACTAGAATGTGGCTAGGCGAAGACCTTTGCCGCCAGGTTGCTAGGACCATTTGCCATGGTCTCAGGAATGATTGATTTTCCATGCTCTATCTATTGCCCCCAAAGTTGGAGGTGTCGGCAAACTCGCAATACTGGCTTTGTACGAAGTTTCGAAGCATTCCAAACCATCCGCTGGCATTGCTCAGCAGACACTCAAGGTTCGTGCAGGCGGTGAATCCACAGAGTGTTGCACATATGTAGAAGTTGATGACCATGCAGCCCCAAAAGCATTATAGACGGGAGTTTTTACTGACATAAGTTGAGGAACGCTAACCCGAGTGGCTGAGGAAAGAGCAGAGGCAGGATTTGATTATTTGCGGGAACGCTTGCGGCTATTTCCATTCATGGCGCTAGGCGCCATGGATTGCATTCCTACAGTTCCTTGCTATTTGCCGTTCCCAGTGCATTCGCTGCATGAAACAGCTACCATCGTCTATAAGTTTGCTTTAGAAGTTTGCAGTTTTTACTGCTGGGTGTTTTTCACGTTCCTCTTATTCATACCACCACTCTCGCAGATGTGGCATTTCTGCCTCCTTCCCTTTGCCACTTTTGGGGCTTGTAATTTGACCTTGCTGCATTGACCGACCCGCTTTGCATGCATTCATTGCTCTGAGGTGCTGAGGCACTGTGGAACTAGAGTGCGTATCTGTTGCATGTGCATATTTTCTTTGTCTCTGTTTCTTTGTAGCAGGGGGCTGCTACATTCCAGCTCGCTGACAACAGCTAAGCTTCTCTCCGTCACGGTCGTGCTGGTTTAGTTTTTCCTCGTTAGTAGCTAGTGCATGTTTCATTACTCCTCTCGCTTTTACCTTACCGTTTGATACTTACGTTGCGTTTCTAGGTTGCACTGATTTTCTCGCATATGCATGCCTGGGAAGTGAAGATAGGGCGGGAATTTCTCCGCTGTCATGGATGCAGCTGGTCTCGACGGACCGCTACGGAGCACGTGGGCGTATGTATTTAGATGTACAGCAAAAATAATGGACAACGCTATGCTTGAACGTTTTTCACTGCACTTGTTTCGTTTCGCGAAGGATAAGTAAAGAAGGCTTATTCGTTCGTAAATCTTATCTGTTGTAGTGCGCCACTGGATTGACAACAATACAGAATAATGCATACATGTGATTATCATGACACATGTAACAAGCTGTGAATTCTCGGAATGTTTGGAGTGTGCAGGAGCGCACACTCACGAGCTGTCCTCCGCGCATACTGGAACTGATGGGTGCAGGCAGGGAATGGCAAGTGATCTATAGAAAAGCACTCAACTTGCCATTAAGGCTTCATCGGATCCAGAGTCAGGTGCCCCTCTACGGAGACAAATAAAATGCTGCACGAAAGTGCCGTCGAATTAAGGCTCTCGGCCACTCACGCAGCTATTCTTTCAGTTTGGAACAGTCTAAGTCTATAGTGCACCAATTGTTGATTATCCTCTGCCGTGTATAGCTGAGCGAACAGCCTAATGTAGTTGGCTTGTACGATGATGGCATAGCAACCCTGAAGTGTATCGTTTTTCAGGCGCTGATGGTGGTGCGTTTAAGCACAGAATGGCTTGGCCCCTAGTATAATGGATACAGCGGTCCTCTCAGTGCAAATCTATTGAATGGTGCTTCATACCACCCAGCTTGTCGGGTTGTTGGGGCTGAGTCGATTTGCGAAGGTCCAGTATGGCCCATACCCCGCACAACGGTCTACGCTTATCTGCCCCGAAGACAAACGCAGCAAGCCGGAGAATCTCTGCAGCGGCTACACTCAAGCTGTGAGAGCCTTTTCCACTCCCACGACTACCCGCCACTTCCAGTCCCACCATATGCCTACATTGAGCGTAGTTCCAGACTTTCAGAAGCGCCATAAGCTGCTGTAGCAGCGCGCTGCACCGAACTAATTGCTTGCAGCGAAGTGCCTTTTGCTGGAACGCATGCAGACGTCTTATGCCTTTTACTGCATTGCTCCAATGTTGACGATGTACTAGCCTGACTGATTCATAGTGCGCATTTTGTTTTGGATGCGGCAGGTCTTGTTGCCGTAGCACCTGCGATGAAGCATTGGATGCGTAAGAGGCGGCTGAAAGATATGCTCTCCCTTGAACCTGCTGCTGAGCCCACCATCGCAGTGGTTTCTGTAGTTGAATACACGAGGTCCCTTCAGCAAGATCCCAACTACAGCCAGTGATAACTTGGAAACTCTGGTAGGTACATACTCAACCCAGTGCAACAGGGCATGCGTAGGAAATTATTCATTCTAAGGGCCTCTCCAGGTTGCTGCTGCAACCGACTCTTCTCTTCTTACCACTAGATGAGCTCTTGTATCACTTGAGTGCTTGACTGGTGCAGTTACAAGAGTGCTATAGAGGAGAGACTGTAGAGCTTGCTGCATTCCAACAACTGGTGCTCGCCTCACACGGATACCGAGTGCAAAAGCCTGAAGAAACCGCGGTTTCGTAACTCCTGAATCATTGTGTACCCCGTGGTGAGCCCCCAGGAAATAGCGTTATCCTCGAATACACGTGAACCACAGCGCAAAGAAAGCACAAGGGCAAGGCTTACCTCTCGAATCCACTTAGTTGCTGCCCACAAAAGGAAGAGACGCTTCACTTTTGCTTGTTCCGTAAAGGCATCCTGAAGTTCATGTTTACAGAGAACATCACACGTGGTCTCTATTTGACAGTGGAAGATACGAATTCATGATATATGTCTTTGGCAGGAGTGCGAATATGCTTCCTAGCTGACCACCCTAATGAACGCCGGCAGGTTTCTTGCCAGGTCAGCCGCTTGCTGCAACACCACAGCACCAACTGCTGCCTCCTGGTGCTCCTCAGCTTGTTCAAAGAGGCTATACCCTCCTGAAACCTCACTGCTCTTCCGACCCAGGTGTGCCATTGAAAGTCTTCCTTCTGTCCTATTCGTAGGTGCTCTGCGTGTTGCTGCAGGTGGTGCTGCAGAACGAGTGGCAACAATAGTACAGGGTTGTGTTTTGTGCAAGCTCAACAATTCGCTGCTGCCGGTACGTGCAATGTGTCAAGTTCCTCAAGAACATACGCATTGAATGATGAAGACACATAATCACTGAAGAATATGTAGCACGCCGGCTTTACTAGTGGCACTTCCTCACTGCGCCTTTGTGCAGCTACTATCCTAAATGAAATTGGGCTGGTCATGCAGAGGAAGCAACGCACAGTCCACTCCCTCGAAAATGGCAGCCACTTTCTGCAGTAACAACAAAAAGACCCGCATCGCCAGCAAATATAGGTTAACAAGTAGGTACCCAAAGCGTTGAACCGCGAATAAACGCGCCTTGTTGTCGTTAGTGTATGATACTGCTTGATCCTAATCGTTTGGGCCTAACACAAAGTGGTACATTGTAGCTGTGTTCTATAGCCACCGCATGAGCAGGAAAGGTGTTTAAAATCGCGCCTCTGTCCTGATTAGTGTAGTACTTTGAGTCTAGGCCCTGGGAGCTTAGGTGCTGCCAGGGGAGACATCAAAATGCTGAACCGTACTTCAAGACTGCAGGCCCATGCCACCTAGGGGTAATATTCAAAAACAATGCCCAAGAGAGTTCTGTAGTATGCTCGCCATACCTGTTTCCCCGCTTGGTCGAGCGCCTGGGAAGCGAAGTTTGCAGCTTGGTGGTGCAGCCACGAAAGATGATCGTTGCGATTTGCAGCGGCCATGGGAATGGCTTTAGCTGTTGCTGCAGTGACCCTATAGAGTCTCTCCGTTGTTTCTCGCGCTACACTTACCACTCCCTGCATGTGATTATCCAGCTCGCCAACGGTCCAAAGAAGGCAACGCAGGGATTGTGTCAGTTCAGCCCCCCCAATCATGGTGAGAAATAATGGTACCTCCTAAATGTTCGCATGGATGCTTTTCGTATTAACCGTGAATGCATAAGCTTCCATATCCTGATATACAAGGTTAGATTATGCCAGGCTGTCGCTTTGCTGTTCACGGCACACAGGGCTGCCCGCCAGCCGCATGCATCTGCGGAGTTCATGGCAGGTATCACCATGCAGCTCTTTGCATGCACACACACGAAAGTGCATATACTTGTTCCAAATCCTTCATTTTGAAATTCCTTTTGAATGTATGTCTAAGGGGCATATCTTTTTCTCAAAAGCTTGTATAGTACGCCTGCTGTTTCTTGGACCACAGCCCTGATTGATGCCTCTATCGTTGGCTGAGTAGGAACGAAAATGCTTCAGCACTCTAGGTGTGACATAATGAGGAAAAAGATTTAGTAGTTATGCGTGTGGTGCAAGTTCGGTGTAAAAGAGCACATCAGATAGATCATGAGTTCACAGTTAGTCCTGGTATCTTCCTCTTGACTTTCGCCATTCATATGCACGCATTCGCAGTATGGGAATCCTAGTTCATAGTGGTGTGCCGCGTCGCACCGTCAGTCTCTACTGGTGCGAGAAGCTATGGCTACTACTTGATGGCCTGCAGCTGCTTGCCCTTCTCCATTCTGCCCTACAGTCCTCTCTGCCCTATAGCTGGAACGTATGGGCTCGACTAGGAGCAGTTTTCCTACTAGATGTGCCAAGTCTGCTGCGACCTCTTCCGGCAACAAACGAACTAGGGCCTTATCCTCTAAATGCTCCAGAAAGGGCATTTGTGTTGGTACTGCTCTTGCTGCTCGCGCTAGTGGCAGCTATAGCCTGGCCTAGAGCTGTGTATGCTCAAGAGCTGTACGAGAGACAGCAAGAATTGGAAAATATAAAAAAAGAGCAGGAATTTCGGAGGCTTCGCCGCGAATCCCAAGCTCGTCCATCTGTTACAGCCATGCTTACTTACTCTATGCGTCCTACACCCGCGTCATTTCAAAAAACCTGTAAAACGCGTGTTCACAAATTATGGAATCGGTGCGTTAAAGTCTTCTACTTTTTTTTGGGGAGAGTGACTAGGCTGAGGGCTGCAATAACTCTGTTTCTTCTACCTGCCTGTCTGGCTGTAGAAGTTCCGCTGATCTTTTGCACTGATCAAGCTGACGTATGCGCATCACCAGGATTATTGCTCATTAGGATTGTCTGCTTCGTAGGAGTGGTGGGTTTGCTACTACGAGCTGTGTGTGTGCTGCATGGGGATATGAGGGAGGCCACAGTCTCGGGGCAAGGGAAGGGGCAGGAGGAGTATCTCAGGCAGAGGGAAATCGAATATTTGCTGTTTTTGAATAATGACTGGATGGATAGTAAAGTTTGGCTTGTCTCTTCATTTAAAGGGGGATTCCTACGGAGCTATTGCAGGATTTGGCTACTAGTTCTAAAAGCAGCACTCATTGTTTCTTCGGGTCTTTTGGGTCAGCAGAAGTCCCGTCCTCCAACAGGCCTTGGGTGGCTTGCCGGTCTGGGGTCCGCTAGTGATGCGATATCAGCGGTGCAGGCGGCAAAAGGCACTCTTGGAAAGGCAATAGCGGCAGAGCCGCTAGGAGAGGGAGCGAGAACGGCAGTTGCTGCAGGGCTAGTGCTGTTTTTCTGCATCTTTGCCATTATTCTTCCGCCTTTCAGGTGCCGCAGTAGCAACTGCATCCACGTAATTTTGTTTTTACATTTTGGAGGTGTCAGTGGCATCGGGCTAGCAGCAGCAGGAGCGGAAGCTTCAAGAAGCTCCTTTCTACTGTACTCCAATCAGCACTTGCTTCTTGCACTAGTTCACCTCTGTACGTTGTGTCTCCTGTTGGCTACTACTGTATACTGCTGGATTTGCTGTTTCCTACCCACAGAAAGCCTTGTGTTGAATCGTTATGAGGTGGCAATGGGCTATGTCAACTCAAGGAACAGCAGCAAGAGCGCAGCAGACAGTGAAGGAACATGTAGGTCCTTCATTCACAATGTATATCTAGTAACGCATCTCTGGCGCCGCCGGTGTATCTTATACAGGAGCAACACTTACGACTCTTGGAGCAGCAGCAGCAGCATTCCCGAACTAGGCGTGGCAGAAATCAATGAAAACAACTACGGCCTGCAACCGTTCGAGGCACCTTGGCCCACCAGGCATCAGCATGCGCGCTTCTGGATACGAATAGCACCCATGCTGGTTGAGCAACTCGCTGCATCAAGCGTCCTTGTGCAGCGGTATGCGGTTACAAAAAAACAGTTGCTCCCGGTACACTTGGCAAACGCTGGATTAAATGAATTAGAAAGGCTTATAATACAGCACGTTGGAGTAGTTGAGGCCAAGCACACAAGGATATCCAAAACTCAGAAAAACACAAAATCTACAGACTATCAGCAGCAGGCATTAGAACGACTGCTACTGGAGCTCTCATTGGGTTCGCCACCCACAGCTGAAGCAGCCTCTGTGCCCGGATGTAAATTTAGCTCATGGAATAAGACGCACGAAATGGAGGACAGAAATATATCTGAATGCTATCGCTATGATGAGGGGCTTGTGTTCAAGCAGCATAAACATGAAAGCGAAGAGATCCTAGAGACTGATGAGGGTGCAGGAGCTGCTGCTGCTGTTGCATTGCCACAAGCGTTGGCATTTAAACACTTGGAACGAGCAGCCCATCTCTCCAAAGAGTTCTCTAAAATAAATTTGAGAGACCTCCAAGATTTGCAAACTATCATCAAAGCCGTTCAGTGGACAGTCACTGAGGTGTTTGAAAAAATGTCAGGTAAGAGGGGGAGTAGGATGTAAAAAATGAAATAGCCGGTACAGACTGCAGCAAAACCTGATATGTTGGGTCCGTGGTGCTCCTAAAGCATTAGTCACCTGTGCTTTCTTGCAGAATTCGTGAAAGGGTGTTGAAATTGCAGGCATCGATACTAGAATCTGAAATTCATGCTGTATGTTCACGTAAAATCATACGCAGTCCATAACGAAACCCCCATACCACTGTGCAGGAATTGTACTGAATATTTTTGAATGCATTCATGTTTCACTATGCTCTGCAAATCCTTGCTTCTCAGCTATACATGCTGCTGCGTTGGCGGAGTCCATCTGGCAGGGCGGTGAGCCACCATCCCCCGAAACGCAGAAGCTCTTGCACGACTTTGCAATTCATCTGAAGAGAAGGAAGCGTCAGATGGCCTTGGTGCAACCTCTGAGGGAGCGGATTCTATTAAAGCTCCTGGCCATAAGATTCCTTACTGACACTCCCCATCAGAGAGAAAAAAATAGAAACGAAAGGAAGGAGCAGATGGATAAGCTATTTGGGGAAGAAAGCAGCGTCTTACTTTTTTCCTGTCCAGAGAAACAATAAGTGCATGCCCACAAGAACTCCCTTTACATTGTAAATTCGTTCTTGGCAAAGTTGTCGAGTCTTCTGTAAATCCAGCCTCGACTCTTGTCTGAAGTAACGTTGCACATTTTTAAATCCTCGTGTTTTGCATCTCCTGTGCATGAGAGTTTAGTAAAGCACGATGTACGCAGCGGACTTCCATAATGTAGCATTTTTCTACAGCAATATACCAGACTCAAAGCCAATCTATATGGCAGTCTCGGGAAGCAAGGCATTCTATTAATCGCTCAAACCTATATAATAAAATTTTCTCGCTTCCCATCATGCCGAAAAACTTGAGGCGTATACTCGCCTTTGATAGTCGTGTTTGGCATTCGCGTTTAGAGGTGCCAATAGTTGTTTAGTCTTTAGAAATATAATGGACTCACATGACAGTCACGCCTGTGCCTGCTTTTTCGAATTCGCGGGCTCGTTGTAGGCACTACACTTGTGTAGGGCTGTGCTAAGCCAGGACTTTCTACTGCACGAATAATATTTAGTTTCGAATTAGTAACAACTTGAACATTTAGATTTGCTGTTCATACATCTTCTTTGCTGCAGAGTTACTTGTGCTCAGTATGATAGGAACTAATGTTTTGTGAGCATGTTTTAGATGCAATGTGTAACTATCTCTGAATGCTTGGAATGCTCAGGGGCTTCAGCAACGCGCACCCTAGCTGTCCCCCCCATCTCATGTCGATAAATCCAAGGGGCGCGGGCAGGGGCAGGTGGGAATTCTTTTGACGAATACTTGGCGTGTTTAGGTTAGCCCTCTTCAGCTTCCCCCTCTTATAAAGTCATATATATGTATATATCTGATGGTCGAACCCAACCACACGCAGTACAGCGAAACATTACTCACTCTCTTACCATTCCCCAGGTCGGCAGAAAGTCGTGAAAAAGGAGTCAGAGTGGGCGACAGTTCACTGAAGAAGATAGAAGGGAAAATATTACACACACCAGCCTGCGACGAGCTAGCAAAAAACCCAACTCGACCGCAGCGGTGCGATATCACGGTATCGTCAGAGGGCAGAAATGTGTGAGGCTCCTGCTACGAGAAAACCAAAGACAAGCAAAACGTGCAAAAGAAAGCAACAAGCCCACTCGTTCAGCAGCGTAATCATGCATCATAGAGCAATGTTCGCATGCAGATGCAGCTAGTGCACGCAGCATGGTCGATTCCCAGGCCCCAGAAAGACCATGAGTAGAAATGTAGAGACAACATGCCTGAGAGCGCCAGCGCACAAATGTGAGTGTAGAGACCACCTTCACGAAGAGAACTGGTAAATTTTCAAGCAAAACCCATAGTTGAAGGTAGCTCTTTTAGGGAGAGAACAGGTGCGGGGGAAAGCAACAATTATTCGGACGATAAGTACCGCCCGTGGCGAGCAGCACTGTCGACCAAGCAGTGTTGCAAACGCTCTCACGAAAGCCAAAGCCAACGAATGCTCCTCCGTCAGCCAACGAAGTTGGCGTTCCCTACCAGAAGTAGCTAAAACTCTCGGCTAGTGTGCCCTCGGTCCACAATTGCCCTAAACATCCAGCATTTCTACAACTCTATCTCTATGTCGACCCTCTCCCTTCACACGAGTCCCTTGGGAGAGCAGCTTCCTAGGAAAGCCTGCATTAAGAGTTCCCCACTCCAACTTTTAGGGGAATTGCCAGAGCAGGAAAAAGATTGAAAGCAGGGCAAACAGTCCAAGTCACCAAGTGGTACGCGCCTTCGTTTGGTCACCCTCTGGTGTACCTAGAGCGTGCTCATCCATCAAAACCAGATGTCCAGGTTTTTAATACACAGCACCCGCCCCTCATCATTAATCCGTGCTTCTATCTTCTTAGCGGTGCGCACATATTTGCGTCAAATAGCTTGCTGTGTTCCTGCAGTTCCCCCCCTACAAAAGATGGTTGCTAGCTTCCAACTACTAGTTCCGGGCTCAGACGGGGGAGGTGCTCCTCAGAGTAGCCTAGGGTTGCGGGAGAGCCTGGTAAATGAGCGCACTGTTGTATAAAATAACTCGGCGTATGGAATACGATTGAGCCAAGTAGCTCTACTTTGTGAGCAAAGAGTGATTAATTTTGCAGCAAAGTGAGCTTGATGCACTCTCCTTGCTCATCGGCCTCAGATTGGTTCGCAGTGGCAGTGCTACGGTTACTGTGCAGGCTGAACAAAAATGCATGCAATAGCGCACTACGGAACTTCTGATCCCTGCCCTAAGTGTTACGTTGGGGAAATCCTTGAACAAACTTTCAAACATGAGTCAAGAGTAGTAAAAAGATTTGCTAAACCCCAAGGGAGATGAAGAAAGGCATGAATTGGCCGTAGTTGCTAGGCATCATGACAACAGCCTAAGTGCTACGCGCGATGTAAGCCAATCTCGGCATAAATCGATACGTTGGGGTGTCGACGAAGGCTTGTCCCAAGGTGAGCCCGGCAGATAGGCGACCGCTCAATAAGTATAGTCACCATTAATATGCTTCTTCTTTTAACAGATTGGACCAAACGGATCACTCGATTCCCATCATGTGCAGGTTTCAAAACGCGGTAACTCTGCAGCCAGCGGACAGAATGTTTAAGGAGTTGCCCATCTTTGCGACTGCCATACGCTTCTGATAAGCATAACCTCATTGCCCCACCCAGATATATTTTATCCGCAGGCGATCGACGCCTTCTTACCAGCTGTGCGGTCATCATGCTCGCATACGCTTGCAGGATGGCCTAGGATTCAAGACAGCCTCCATGTAGAGCTTATCGAATTTTCTTCCACCAAAAGTCTTCCGCTCAATTATACGTAGTGAGCCAGTACTACAAGCGCTCTTCCAGCCGCTTTCCGCTCAATCGATGGTACGCTCCAAGCTCCGAAGAACTGAGGGCTCTGCATGCAGCTAGCTTATAAGAGCCCTTCGCATACCAATAAGATAATTTGGAGCACGGACATCTATAACATAGGCTAAAGCGAGCTCTGGTTCACCAGAATGCTTTGGGGTAGGGACATTTCAGAATTCGCAACAAATGCGTTTTATTTTGCGCAAATAGACTTTACTACGTACATGTGGCTAAAAGGCCTTGAAACGCACTTAGGCAAAGGGTAAGTTATCATTTAGCGAAGCACCAACCTGGCTTTATCACAACAATCCACGTAAAGACAAACTTCGATGACTGAACAGTATTTTATTGGTAGATTTGCATCGATTTGGATGTACTTATGAGGCACTACATAGTTTTGAGTAACGGAGGTTTTTGTTTTTGGTGTTGGTGTCTGACTTGCACAGCCCCCCGTAAATGCGCGTTTGAAATTAGTCTTTGTTCTCACGCTGTCACAATCAGTGGGGGAGCTCCCGCACGCCCGCAGCAAAGACTAATCTTAAAGGCGCACCTATGGAAAGTTCGTACCGATTTATATCACAAGAAATTTTTCCTTTCCCATGAATTGAGTGTATCCTTTGGAAGCCTCAGCATAGTGGTTATACCAGGCAATGCTCCAGTTAAATACCGTACATTAGATTGGTTGTATCCAGCTAGGAAGGCTAGCTAATTTGTTTGGCGCCTCCTATATCTCATTTATTGTAGAGCACTGTTGACTCGCTAAAATATGAGGCAACCTTGTGAGCGTGTGCGCTGGATGACATGTGCAGCTAGCTGTGAATGATCAAAGTCCATAGAGCGTGCAACAAGGTGCAACCTAGCTGTCCCTTTCTCCTCTCGCCTAAAACTTTAGAAGCTGTCCGCAGCAGAACGCAAGGGGTTTCCCGAGAAGTACTCAACGACTTTCCATGAAGTTTGCTTTTTCCTGGACTTACGTGTCCTTCCATGGAGACCTTGTATGGAACGATGTACCACAGGAAAAGCCCTTCTAGGAAATACTCAGTAGTTTTTACAATTATTGGTTTTTAGTTCGGACCAAAATGTTTTCCTGCGGTGACCTCAGGTAAAGCGTTAGCTTTCAGCACCGCATGGCTCGAGGCAGCTATTCCTGGCTCATCCACAACCAGTGGGTGAGCCAGGAATAGGTCAGGTCTCCCTGGGCAAATCCTCGGTTTTCGATTGAGTTGCTTGGTAGCTTCATATCGTGAGCTTCTTTAAAAGCAACCTGAAAGAGACAACCCTTTGGCGATCGTAGCAGCGCCTGTTGGGGGAACAGAGGCCGACCTACAGTGCAATGTGGATGCAGTAGCTCCACAGCTTGTAGAAAGGCATAATTTGTCAGCTAATGCAATTTGTACTGCTGAGGCGATGAGGCTCTGCTAGCCAGAAAAGTCTGACGGCCGTAAGGAGAGGGAAGTTTACAAACATTTCATCAGCAAGCTGCAAGCCTAGCTCGCTTTGTGCTCTGCACATGAGGAGAAGGACAAGCATTAAAGGCATGCTTGTTGGGTAAATAGGCAGGTCAGTGGTACCTCTATTCAGGCAAAGTAGTTCGTTTGTCTGGAAGGCCTACTTAGTCAAAGCCCTTCAGAGCGCCTTTACTGTTGGAGTATGCCGAGAAAAACTCCGCGTCAAACTTTAAAAGCACTTAGGAAGCTGAAGCAGTTAAATGTCTAAGAATGTCGAATTATCGCTGAATATAAACCTTTTGTCCGCAGAAGCCACAACGTACACGATGAGATACTTTACCAGGAATTTGAAGTCAGGGCCATCTGGAGTGTCAGCTCAGGTGGCTGTAGGGTAGGCAGCGACTCAGCGATTGAACAAACGACCGGTAGAACTTCCGCAAGTGATGAATTATTCATGGATTCCACAGGAGAATCGAGGCTAATTGAGTGCCTTTTTTTAAAAATTACGAGCCATGTAGGGTTTTAGAACCAATGGATGTCGAGGCTGCGCCAACAGGCTCTAGCCTAAAGTCGAAGACGAGCGAGAAAAAAAGCGTAGCGAGAAAATTCCTCGTTTGGTGCACCCCGCACAACCCTCCTAGAGCGCAACTGCTTGAATTGTGAAAGAGTGGGTCTACATGCACGTGTAGAAGACAAAGAACTCTAGCAAAGAAACTATGTCCAGTGGAGGCAGGCCTTTTTCGGCAAGCAAAAATGGCGCAACAGGGGAACCACAAGACCCACAGGCAGGCGGCGAAGCGGTGGAGGGCGCTACAGGGGGAAGGGCCACCGTTGGGGTGTCATCACGTGTCGATTTTGTGCTTATGCAAGTCCACATTGATTTGCAACAATTGCAAGCGTTACCTGGAACTGGATAAAAAGTGGTTATGCTCTCCAATATGACGCAGAAGTGAAGTCTATTTGTCCATTTGTAAGCAATCTCTAAGACTAAAAGCTGCTGAAGGGCGACAAGACTCAAAGATTATCAAGGATGCGACAGGACTAGGGGTGGAGCCGGCGCCTGAGCAATATGAGGCGCAATTTCTATGCCGGCAGCTTATCAGCGCAGTATGAAGAGTTGGGTCTAGTCATCCACTCCTTCTTAATAACTATGTGATTGATTCTTGATGAAGACTTTTGCTTGCTGATCTTTACCAGGGACAACAGGAACGGGCAGTCAATGAGGAGGAATCCGCGAAACTGCTATATAATGAACAGCTGCCATCAGGCTGGCCAGCTGCAGGTCATCCAGCGAAACGCATTGAGCAAATCCCTGGTTGCCCCCAAGCTATGTGTAGCGGTATTGAAAGCTCTCACAACATCATAAGAAAACTGAGTGGCAAGTGGATGAGTTATTGAAAAGGCATACTGCCGAAATCGACCAGCGACTTGTACCACAACCCGGTGTTGGTGCTGAAAACGGAAGGAATGTGGCGCACTTGCTTTAACTCAGAGCCCCCCGACAAAATATTGCGAGACGTAAGTTCTTGGTGCCCCATGCTGCCAAAATACACAGGTAAGCAGCCTGCTCGACATGTGACTTTGCAGACGCCTTATTTAAAAACCCCCCTTCAGCTTGATGACGGACACAAATTGGCGTTCCACATCTCGCATAAGCTCAACTTTACCTATGCGCCTCTTAAACTTGCTTTGACTTCAGCTAAATTACTGCACATTACTAGGAATATTAAGAAGCCCCTAAGTCAGAGCTTGGTGGCTGTATACTTGGAAGACGGCATAGTCTGAAGTCGAAGCCTTTATGAGCATCTGAAGCACCTATGCCGTGCGCTTCAACTATGACGAAACAAGCAGCGGTATACTGGGGTATCCAATCCTTCCTATAACAAAAGCGATTGCGTTTGAGGGAATTAGCGTTCTTCCCCCAGAAATTGAGCCTGATACCAGAAGTTGAGACAATCGAGGTTTCGGATGCTTCTTTACACGCTCGCACCCATTGTAGTTATATGGGCTTAAATACTTTTACCGAAATTCAGTTGCTGAATTTGCTCGTTAGCCTGCCTCTTTGCCTGATCTGCATAAGAAAGTGCAAGCTCTGACCTGGAAAGAATGAGACCGCAACACGACAGCTACGCAGCCGCCTTACAACTCCTCCGGTGCCTCCGCTGCCCGATTCTGATTGTCATCTTTTACCTCTGATGTCGGTTGATCATATTTTCCCCCTCCACAGGCTGCGAGATATCCAAAACTTCAAATAATTGCTTGCAATCTGCACTGTCGTCTCGAGGTCGAGTGGGGGTATTCTGTGTGGGAAACGAAGTTCCATTGGACGTGGTGGGGTGCAAAAAATGCCGGCGATGTACATGTGGATGCCATTGTACCGTCCACACCAACCGCTAGTCTTTGTTGTACCTCACTAAGATTTTTCATAACTTGGAAAATCCTAGAGTTGTTTGCTGGTGTGAGCACCTTCTGCAGTGCGATTTTCAATAACATCTCATAATGGCATGACCAACCTGGTCCTCAACGCGCGCTCCTGACTCCCCAGCAACCCAACACTGCTCAGCCCAGCCTCTCTCCTCCCTGATGTTTCATAATTTTAACCGAAAGCGCGTCTTATGCTTGGGGAGCCCATGCATCAGCTACTCTTGCAGGAATGCAGATTTGCAAAAGGGTGGGGGGTGTACCACGTTGAAGATTACCTGCTATGACTGAAAACATAGCAAGGCCCCCGTCACCTTCATATCCGGCTTCACTATGCAGTGCTGCTTTCTGCAACGCACAGAAACCCGTTCCATCGGGCCATGGTGGAAAGAGCCCTCAGTGGAAAAGCTTGGGAGGCCTTTCTATTGGCCTAGGATGCGTCCCACAGCAGATGAATATGCTATGCCATGATCTGCCAAATTCTCCCATCCAGCCTTATGCAAAGCCTTTCGTTTTATGAAAGTATTAGGACTAAGGTAATCACTGGCTTCGCTGTTGGATTGGCGGATTTCAAGGGCAAGGATAGCTTAATGTTGTCGACAGATTAGACAAATATGCTCACTTCATCCTCCTGAAACTCTCTCTCACGGTATATCATGCCTCTTAGTTGCTCCTAATTCCTGTCTAGAAGCTTTACAGACTTCCCAGATCATTACGGATAAGGATCCAAAGTTTTATCGTGCGCACTTGCGTGCCTTTCTGACCCGCCTGCATATCAACCATAAAATGACCTATGCGAGCCACTCTGCGGCAGCTGAACAGGTCCAATGCACCAACCGCACTGTTTTGCAGTATCTGAGTTTCTTTGCTCACAACATACACAACTGCTTGGCTCAAAATTTCTTCCTTCCACCGAGTAAGTTTATAGTACAACAGTACACCCGTCTACCCATTGTTCTCCCGCATCCCTGGCATACCTTTTCTGGGCAAGTGACCCGTGGGGAAACGTGATCATTCACAGGGAGCGGCAGACATATTAGATGCGAGGACCATTGAGCTCCGAAAGCATTATAGTGGAGAGTTTCTAGCTACATCGGTTGGCCACCGCCAACCTAAGTGGCTGAAGAAAGAGCAGGTGCAGAATTTGACTTTTGTGGGGACAGTTGCGGCTGATTCAGTTTGCGAAGCCAGTCGCCATGGACAGCATTCCTACACTTCCTTGGTATTTGTCCTTTCCTACTACATTCTCTGCCTGAAACAGTAACCATCGTCGATCAGGTCTCATGTAAAGTTTGCAGTTCGTATTACTAGGTGTGATCTACACTCATTTATGCAGCTATAGTCTGGGGCATGGTGTCTCTACATCCTTAGTTTTGCCACTACTGGGGCTTGTGAATCGATTAACGCTGCAGTCACTGGCCGACTTTGCATGCATGCATTGTTCTAGGAGGTGCAGGCAGTGTACATCTTGACTCCATGTGCATATTTTCTGGTTTATCGTAGCAGGAGGCTTCTACATTTTAGCGCTGACGACAGTAGGTTCTCGAGACTCCTCCTTCCTGCTGCTTTGGTTTTTCTTCGTTTTAGCTGGTATGTGCATCAATACTCCTGTCTATCGGCTGATGTGCGAAATTTTGTATTGGTCCGCACTGTTTTCCCCGTTTCTGCCTTCCTCGGGACTTGAGATTAAGTGGGAAATCTCTGCTGCCATGCAGGCAGATGGTCGCAATGGACGGGGAAGGAGTATATGGGCATGTGATCTGAAACGAAGGCGATATACAGTGGATTAAGCTACATTCAAGCACTGTCTACCACACTGGTGTTATTTACTAGAAATTAGGAAAGCTTGAGTGATTGGCTTGCAATCACGTACATTGCATTCGCTGAACAGCATTGTGAGCCTAATATAGTGCCACGTCCAACTAGATGTGAAAGTGCAGAGTGCTTAGAAATGCAACCATGCTTACTGCAGCTGCCCCTCTCCCCTCATGCCGAGCAGTCTGAGTGGCGAGGGAAGGAGAGGGCAGGAGCCCTTCTAAAAAAAATCAATAACTTTTCATCAACGTCGTATTTAGCCTGGAGTTAAGTATCTCTCAACGGATATCTTAGCTGGATGTGTGCCCGCGCACACAGACAGCCAGCAGGAACACTGCACACATCATTGTAGTACTGAGCAAGCCCTTCTGTGCATCAACCATATCCACAGAGCAACCAAACCGCTCACTTAATGGTGAAGTAACTCTGAAATAATTGTGACAGTCCTCCTAGGAGCGTTCTGGCCCGGTATACATAGGCATGATTTTCATAATTGCGTGGGCAAAGCATGGCAAAGGGGAAGCTGAAAAAGTATGAAAGGTAGTTTGCGCGCCTTCTGATGCATATGCTAAACGGAATTCTCCACCTGATCTGGGCTCACTAATGCCTGACAAACTGGGAGCAAGATGTCGATTATCGGGATCCAGCCGGTGCCAGTAAGGGAAAAAAAATGGGAGGACCTCACCACTCAACCGCTTAAAGCCACTTATTTGTCCAAAATTTTGTGCTGCTACGGATTTGGGACACTGGATAAACAGGTGCAACGCAAAGGAAAGGAACAAGAATGTGCCACCAATCCATCTGAAGGGCCTCGTGTCTGCAGCAGCAAAGTCATATGAAGACAATCATTGCTGCACATTAGCATCCTGACCATTTGATTGGACAATTTGTACTTAACTTCAGGCATGAGGTAGATGAAAATGGGAATGAGAGCGGCAATAGTCCCCAATTCCGAATGCGAAGCAGCTAGCCTGCGACAACCGAACTGTGCATGGCCATCTAGGGCGATCGTTTCTGGCACCCAGCTAGAGGTAAGGGCTTCAGGGCATTCTTACAGCCTCCCTCTAGATTTTTCACTGAAACATGGTTCAAAACTGTCTTTTCCTCTAAATAAATGCAACACAGTCCTTCGAGGTCAGCTGCAAAGAACAGAATCTGCGCAGATATTGGCAAGCGCATTGCCGCGCAGGGACGTGCGCGTAAGGTACGTTGAGGTGCTCTTCTTTATTCTATCAGTGTATTTTGCTTGTATTTCACTTTATATATATGCAAATATGGAAGCTGTTCGGCTTCACGATGACGCTGAGCAGCACAGTGACGGCTCATCTGGGCCTATTCCCAGCAAGGCTACTCGCGCCGCCGACTCGATAACCAGCGCAGAAGAGGCTGGGCAATCAACCGTCTGCTGCAGCAGTGAAGATGAATATCCAAGCGCAGAGAACTATGCAAGTGATGACGAACGCCAAGACAGTGATGATCAAAGGCGTACTCATCCAACCCCAGCCGCAGCAGAGCCGCAACAGCAACCGTTGCATGCCGCGCTGCTCGAGCAGCAGCCACTCTTACAGATTTCTCAGCCGTCTGGTGTTCCATCAGCTCCATATGCATACACCATCAGCAGCTTAGATGATATCGCCCCTAGCGAAGCACCTACTGCGTGGCTTAAACCCCGGATCAAAATCGACGGGCCTGAAGTGTTTCACGGTGGGTGTCTCCCTAGTCTAAACCGATTTTACGCACTACGTTCACTGATCCCTTATTCATACCAATCAGCCATGAGCTTTTTCTCATCACAACTTCGTACGCGGAAAGCTACATACCACCCGAGTATTAAAACTGGTACAGCTAGCACCATGCAGATGAAACCCATATGATTTAGAGCGAAATTCTTTCGATGAATATTTTTTAGGGTTGTTGAGGGCCAACGACGAAAGTCTTCCGGCTACCGAAAGTGTTCCATCCACCGAAACCTTTGTTTCCTTTCAAGGACAGGTCTGTACATTTTCCAAATCGCATATGAATTATTTACGCTAATTATACAGTTGCCCAGTCACGAATCTGTTATCACGAGTGATTATCTTTTACATTTAACGCTTTGCTGCTTACATAAAAGTTGCCGAATCCGTCGTTTGTTACTTCCCACAAACAGCGATAGTGAAGCTGGGACAGTATTCTGCTGCTGTGCGTTCAGTGGCGCGTTGTGACATCGGCTGGGACTAGTTCCTATATTGGGCCAACAATGAACCCATGGGACCCTTCCACGGCGGCGTACCCCTTACCGATCACCTACAAAGTGTCTGACGAAGAGGTTGTTGTCAGGGAAGCCAACAATTACATATCCCGCGCGGACGCCAGGCACGGAATCCTCGAAAGGATTCGTCGTTTTTTCTGCACATCCATCGCGGAATACATGCAAAGTTGAGGCAGAGGTCCATCGCTGCGTGCTAGCCAGAGTACCTGCGCAAAGTATGGTGGCGTCAGCGATCACTACTCCTCACTGCTCCGCTACTGCTAGGTAGACAGGCAGGCTAGAACAAGTATTCGCCAGCTCGCCACAATAGTCAGCCACTACCTACACACAAGGGTTCCTCCTTTTAATTTGAAGACCCACAATTTTCTCCGTTCGCAAGACACGCGCATGCCCCAGCGGCTGCGGACGACTTAGACTAAGTAATGAAGGCTACTAGTGTTTCATTAATCACGTGTCCCTATTGTGTTTGAACACTCAGACAGTATCATGCCCTATCAGCATTCCCAAATGCGCTTCGCAGCATTCTTAATGGTAAATAATCTGTCAGCTTGTAATATTGATGTTTTCACAAGTTCAAAATCCTCAGACCTTGGACTCTTCCGCTTCTTTGCCTTCGTTTCAGCCTCTAGAGTACAGCATTGCCACGGGAAGGCATTCAAGCTAGCTTGAAGACCGCGTGGTTAGCTATCGCCTGGCAGGGCGTTTGTATGGGGGCAAGGGAGAGCGTACTGGTTACGCTCCGTTGTTCATCTGCATCTGGCAAGCCTTCAGATTGTCCAGGTAGTTCTGACAGAGTGCTATATCGGTGTGGCGTGTCATGCACTGAAACATGACAGGGCACACAAGTCCATGTACCGACCACTCAAAAGTGACATTGCTGCTTCTGTAGGCCCGTTCCACGTAGTACAATGACAAACACGTCACAAATGCTACCAATAGAGCAAGCAAAAACGCACCTAAAGCAATGACATATCACACAATCTCCACAGAGACACTGCCCGCACCATTACTCGTCAATTCTCTCAACACGCAGCACGGTTAACAAACCGCCTTACGGAACCCTTCCACAACGACTGGGATGCTGTGAAGCAATAAAAACTTCGGAACAAGTAAACCAAAGCACTAAGAAGACATCTTTGCTGACCTGGTTGAGCTCCTCTTGGTAAGCGGAACAGGGATCCCGCTGCAGTCCTTGTTGCATCGTCGGTGTCTGAGGTGCCGGGAGGGGGGCGTTGTTTGTGTGGACTACTTCCACAGAACGAGGACCCATGACGGCATCAACAGCCCGCTGTGCCACGCCAAAACCAACCCCAGAAGCCATCCCGCCGGCAACATTCCCCACCATATTTGACATGAAGCCGCCACCACCACCACCTGTCATAGGAGGAGGGCTCGGTGGAGCAGCCACTGGCGCTGGAGCTGCAGGATGAGCCGAACGGGAGCCGCCTACTGCACAGGCAAATGACGTAGCAAGCACACCGAAATCAATGCATAATATCGCACTCCGAGGTCATCATATGCCTGATTATCGACTACTTCTCATGTGGGCAGCACTCCTTCGTCAGCGATTTCATTTCTCAGCTCAATGGCACTACCATTCAAGTGAGAAGAAAGACATCCGAGGCCTTGCTAGAGGAGGCAATCAGAACTGCATGCGGTGCCCGACTTTTCAACCACTATGAGAAGGGAAGCCGAACAACATTCTCTTGCTAAAGTATCACATGCGTCCTAAATGTGTAATCAAATGAAAATTCGAGTAAGAAAGCTTCCCACCCAGTGACCTGGCTCAAGGCTGATAAGAAATATTCAAACCCACAGAAGCCTCCACCAGAGGAAGAACGGCGTGCGCCCGCACTGCTGCGTTGCCTGGGCATCTTCAGAGCAATACAAGTGTCACGAGAGCAAAAAAGATGATTCAAATGAGTATACGAAGTAATTAAGGTGATACAAGATCTGAATATGCCTGCTGTGGAGAGGCTTCTGAAGCGTGCTGGGGAGCCGCGGCTGCCGGACAGCTACGGGGAGCCAGACTGAGACACTTCCAGGTTCCAGCATTACAGCGATAGGTGCTGCTATTAAGTTCTTCGAATGTATAGTAATATAAGAAACGGAATTCCGTACAAAAAATCAAGCACGGCAGCAAAACGAAAGACCTTGTATATGTCTGATGTCCCATATCAACTGGGCAGACCGTTTCTTGCAATATTCCGATCCCCCGTACTACCCACCAAGGGGGCATCTCTTTGGTCACTTTGACGCACCTCTCTGTGCAGTGGAATTGGGGTGTCGTGGTGGGTGGTGAAAGGTGTGGCTTCAGCGCTCGGCAGCGGCAACTGGCAGAACGTGTTGGAGTACCTGAACCGCTCAAGTAAAGGGGCCTATCCGTATCTTCTCCAAATGACTACTGGAAGTACAAGAGTGCCATAGGGTCTCCATTTGCCAACCTATTGCGGTCCAACGCTAGCTGCGTGTTCGGGAGAACAGTACTCGTCTGTCTATACTCAGAACTACCCAGGTGAGGCCACAAGCAAAGCCTTCCTGTCTCATGCCACGTCGCTTCTTTGGACCAATCCTGGACTCTTCAAATCTTTGTGCTGTCCAGTGTAGACCCTGTAACGTCATTCTGTGTAAATCACGAAAGCCTGCTCTGTCCCCTGCCCACGACTGGTCACATTGGTGGCGGTTGCAATCCAAATAAGCTGAAGTATGATATGCCGCGCGGAGCCTCGCCCTACGGCTCACTCATTTAATGCTCAGATGCTGTATGGAACGCGGTGCGCGGCTTGGTGCGTGCAGGACATCTGAACATCCAGCCAGTCAGCTGTTTTCATTTGAGCTCTCTCCACTTAAATGAACAATAATGGCGGGGAACTTCACAGACTTTGGTGATTTGGTTCTCATAATTGGAGACTTTCACGTGCCTCAGCGCGCTGTGGATTTGCCTCCTTGTTTCCGGGAGCTGCTGAACACTGATAAGATCCGGCATGTCTTGTGCACCGGGAACGTCGGTAGCCAGCAGGTCCTGGACTTCCTCAGGGGAATAGCTGGCTCAGTGCACATTGTTAAGGGTGACATGGACGAGGGCTCTGACTTTCCGGAATACAAGATACTACAGTTTGGTCAGGCTGCAGTTTCAGCAACTGGAGTGCCTTGATTTCAAGTCGCTATTGTCTAAGCAGTATAAGCTACTTATGAGAATGATTATCTTTCTTCTTTATTAGAAAAGCTGAAGCATATGGCGCAATATAGGGGAGGGTAGTCTATAGGCAAGATGTTGTATCATCGCTTTGCACAAGCAGGTTTCACTGACACAACTGACACCGCATGTGGGTGCATAATCCTGCTTGCATTTCAGTATATACATGTGTTTTCAGGGGAGTTTAAAGTCGCACTTCTGCACGGCCACCAAGCAGTACCCTGGGGCGACGCTGACGCTCTCTTGCAGTGGCAGCGCCGGCTTGACTGCGACATTATAGTCTCCGGCCACACCCACAATAATTCCGTTAGAGAAGTGGAAGGGCGATTTTTTATAAATCCTGGATCAGCAACTGGAGCATATCAGCCATGGGCATCATCACCGACGCCGAGCTTCATGCTGATGGCACTTCAGGGGGCATCAGTAGTTTTGTACATTTACGAAGAACGGGGGGGCAAGGCAGAAGTGGTCATGAGCGAGTTTACAAAGCCGTCAATGAAGTGACACGACGCCACGACCTAGGTGGTGACCGCGCAATTGTTTTGATCAATACTCAAAGAAAAACCCAGTAACCGCACCACCCGTGTATCGTTCTATCTAAGGTCTTCGTAAGAAGAAATTTAAGTCCAGAGATAGTACAAAGATATAGAAAGCTTTCGAGATTTTCAGGAAAGCTCTCGATTCTCCCTGTAGAGTGCCCGACATGAAGGGAAAGTGGCACCTACGGTGAGCGTAGCTCCATCGTCTACATACTCTGAGCATTTAGTTAGTTTGACAGTTTCATGCGCACAGGCACACAGCGGAAAGTTTCAAGTATCCAGAGAACAGTGCTCTGCAGTACACGAGGTGTACGGACAAACAAGCCAGTTCAACAGCTCCGTAGTAATTCGTGTAGTTAAGTATAACCAGTGAGTAGAACGCGTTTGAATACAAGTCACCGCGCTACAAAGCCTGAATACCACCCCTTTGTAGCTGAAATGCCTTCGTTCAAGAACTGTTATATTTCATTTTCGGTGCCTTGCCTGAGGCCTATGGATGGTAGTGCTATCCTCTTCAAGATTAGTAGATGACTACTCCCTAGAATTCGTGTGAACCGGAAGGTCGGTGTGCGAGCGCATGTAGTTTGACGAATCCACGGCCGCCACCATAATAGCTTGTTTTCTGGCGCAGCCATTAATAGTTTTGCCTGAGCACGGTGCATTCATAGTTTAACATTGTACTCGACCAGAAAAACCTAAAAGTTGTGCCGAAATGCGATTTTCTCTGCACATGTACTCTCCCAGACACCTGGCCTAGTTTTGCTGTGGGGAGTACAGCATTCTCTGGACCCCTTGGTATTGCTTGTCTTGCAAGCACAAAGTGGTATTGTACAGGCAAGGTACAACTCACGAGGAAAACCAGACTCTCCTTGTGATCTTGAACAAGGGCTGGTCTCCACCAACTAACTTCCCTTACACTTGCATTGCCTCCCTTGTATCATAAGCACCTGTATTACTGATAGCTTCTCCGAACGTCTTCGTCGCATGTCAAAAAGAATACCCTTTGGTACGCTGTATGTACCGAAAGCCAAGTGGGCTTCAATGGATAAGCAAAACGGCGCTGCCACTGCAAGCGTGCCTCAGTGTCGCCCCATTGTGCTGCTTGGAGGCCGTGAAAAAGCGCAACTTCAAACTTCCCTGCAACACAGGTATACTTGTGTACACGTGTTTTTGGACATCTAAGCTGGAGACAGCTCAGATAAAAACAGCTGATCTGCTGAATGTTCCGATGTCCTTCAGGCACCCGGCTGCGCCCGCTTCTCAAGAAAGGGTTGAACACTGAAAGAAGAGACCGTGAAGAGGGTCTCCGCATAGCATATCATGACACAGCTTATTTGGACCTCAAAACCTTCCCGTGTTCTCAGTTGTGGGCAGTGGACAGACCAAGCTTTCTCTACTTCTCCCCAAAGGCTCAACATTGAACAGGTCTGAGGTCAAAAACGCCCCAGCTTGTCAAAAGAAGGACCGCAGCATGAATTGGTAAGGCTTTTTGATGTCCTGGGAATTCCTGAGATCTAGTAGCAGACATGCTCTCAAAAAATTGCACTCATATTACCAGGATGCGGCACCAGACCGCTGCCAAATGCAATTCCTCAGCATCCGTACGTTCCTGCGAGTTTCTATATTTGGCTTCTTCTTTTGGCTACGCGTAGATAGTGAGCACTTTATTATCGGGCCAGAAGGCTGATCATTATCTCTCCACCTGGCCGTACGGAGAAGGTCCTTTATCACTTAGATGCCAGTGGCGTGCTGGTCGTACCCTGCACAACTGCACTGTTCAGGGTCTACACAGAAGTCTACAATATGGAGCGGCTGTTGCAAAGTTTGCAGAAAGAATTAGAAGCGCTAAGATAAACCCTCCGTGATGTCCGCCAAATTGTCCGCAGTCTCTGGCATCTTGGATGCGTATAATCCGAGCAGTATCAATGTCCCAGGAAAGTCCGCAACATTAAGGAGTCTATATTTACAGTTTTAAAAGCATTTTTTCACCCTTCGTCATAATAAAAGACGGAAAGTAGCAGCTCTAGATGTGTATTTGTCCCGGGTACCGTGGCGTTTTGGGGGCCCCAGAGCTCAAGCCTTTTGACGGATTGAGATAACGCCTTTGTTAATGCGGACTATTATCCCCAAGTGAATTTTTTTCCTTCATTTCCTTTCAATCTGCACATATCCCCGGATTTTGCCGTTTTGGTGTTACACTTCTACAGCTGCCACCAACGCGCGTACCCCACCACGAACCTTTTCCGAATGAATTTAGCTTGAAATTGGCAGAGGAAAGCAATCACACTGAACCAGGCTGCTTAAAGTAGGAAGATGGTTGGAATAAGCTGGCCATCCAGGACACAGCCGCTTTAAGCGGAATCTGGGTCCTCAGTGGGCCCCAATTTTGTAGCTTTGTCCCAACTACACGCATGGGAAGTCCTCGGAAAAATGGCAAACATGCACTTTGGACGGACTGTTCCAGTCAATTTCAGGCGGTTCCCTTCTTTAGTGTGCCGCAGCCTCCTTGGTAAGACTATCAAGGTGCCGCAGGATCTGGAGGGCCAGCTCAATCTTCTAGTTGTGGGTTTCAGGACGTCTCACTATAAGGCCATGGATTCTTGGACTCCGTTTGTACAGAATTTAAAGAAAGAATTGCTAGCAAAGCATAACGCCGATGTTGCACGCGTGCATGCATATCGACTTGTTATTAGGTACGTCTAGAGTGTTTATTTTCGTTCCAACTGGGATCACAGAATCTTATATCGATATATAAGAGCTTTGCATTGTGATCCTCTCCAGTTTTGTGACTTTTCTGTGTGCTCGCTCGCTTGTCGTGGCAGGCAGCGCGGTGAAATTTTCTTGCGGTGGTGGACAGACGAGAGGCTCCGTTTGGCAGTAGGCACCACACATTTGGAAGTCGATCATGCCAAATCAGCTACAACCGAAGCCAATCAGGAGCGTCAGCATGCTTCTGGTCTCGCGGCGTCTTGTACAGTTTCTACGACAGAGCAGAGATCTTGCGAGGGGAATGCGGCAAGCACGGCAAACAGCAACCTTGAAGATGTTCGTCTGTCTAGGCTACATACAATTTGCTCCCGAACGTTGACTTGCTTTACCGATAAGCGCGCTTTTATTGACTCACTGCAGCTCCCAGATGCTCAGCGGGTCTACATTTTTCTTGTTGATCAGGAAGGTGGGGTAGAATGGTGCGAGCACGAGGGTTATTCCCCTGCCAAAGAGAAGGCAATCCGGGAGCTTCTGCAATTACCGGTGTTAAATGTTCCTTCTCCTCAGCTAGCCATAAATGATGTGGGGTTTCTACCTGAGTGCTCAGAGAGGCAGCTCAAAGCATGAATTCTAACACTGCTTTATGTTGGTAGAAAAACATAAAGTTGCAACAATACGATATCTATGAGGGAATTCTCTATAGCCATTTTGTTAGAAACATAATTGCATGGGATCTCATTATCTGTATAAGTACTGGCTGATCAAAAGTACAGCTTGCTTTGGATCGAAAATTTCATAGAGTGAGGAATGAGAAAGTAATCAAATGGACAGCCAGTTACCCCCGCTTCTGGAGCTTCTGAAATCTATTTAACCGTAATTTGGTGGTGGAAAAGGTAAGGAAGTAGCAACTGGAAGGAGCCTTCACTGCCGTGCAACAGAGTACAGCTGGCGGGTTGATCAAAAATTGGTAACTCCCACGAATTAATGAGCTCCCGACGACGGCATGCTGCTGCCATAAAACCACTCGCCTTGTAAATTCGCTCATAACCCGTTCTACTTTATTACTTTGTTCTTACCAAATAAATAGAACGACTGATGCTCGGTGATGGCTTTTGTGGGCGGCTGACCCCCCAAGTTGCATATTCACAGTCGAAAATGTGTTGCTTTTCAGTTCCCCATATGGAGTTACTATGGATGTGGCCATCTACTGCAGTGTAGACGGCATTTTAGGAATGAGTTCAGTTTGCACAGGAATACCAGTTGGTGGGCATATGGCAGGGAAAATTTCTCTGCGTGTGTTCGGGGGAGTCCTCTGCAGAGTGAAATAGGGACAACGATGATAGAAAGTTCAAGCTCCGGAGTAAAAGAAATAGTATGCGCTCGGGCAAAGCAATGCTGGATGCCTTGGTCCTACGCCCCTCAGTCGCGATGCCCTTGATTTGTATACTCACTTCTAAGGCACGTACACTGTAGTCAATGGTCCGTGACCTTAGTAAAGTTTGAAAACCCAAAGTTTGCGATTCCGGTGGGCTATTTAGGCACTAGTTATCATATAACAGGTGTGCGGAGGGTCAAGTCCTGAGGTGTGGGCATCTAATCCATATTTCCGCGTACGTGGCATGTGTCTATACATGCTCTGCACTGGAGCACATGACCCATACTTTTGTTAGATCGCTAAAATACAGCATCCAGTTTACCTTGCTCACGTAAATAGCCACTAACTGTTGTGTCAAATGCGCTTCGATGATGGTTGCCTCGCCAAGCTACTGTTAGGTAAGAAGAAATTCTGCCTTTGGTACTCGCTTCGTTTGACGTTGTGTTGCGATTTTGTCCAGTCCTGAAATTATTTTATCTAATGGTATCCTATAAGCGGAGAGTGCCGTACGTGAAGCCTTTATGCATTATAAATGACCATGCCCTGCTGGTTTCCCATACTCGATTCCCCTAGTCATCAATGTGTGTCCAGGAAAGGTAAAGACTTTGGCTCCCCCTGTGACTCTAGTGCACTTCGGGACGCGCCCCCGAAACTAGTGATATCTGCGCGTGCTGGAATTTTGGCAGCTGCAGGTCGGGTGTCCCTCAAACGTGTATCCTCGCGGAGAAATTAAATGAGTTCAGTTATGACTCCGCTAGCAGTGTAGCCTCTCTTTAGGTGTCGCATGATTGATGACGTGTAAAATGAAGGCCCGTAGTTGTTTAAGATGTTGAAAGTTTGTGTGCACAGGGTCACCCATTTGCCGTCTCCAGATTGTAATCCTAGGGTGTGGCGTTGTTGAGTATTCATGAGGCAACTGCAAATTTTGAATCAGTCTGACGCGGCTGATAAGAATGTGGAAGCTGCCATCTATATCCATACCGCGAGGCAACAATCGAAGAATCTGCACTTTGCTAGCCAGAGGATATGGCCCGATGCCCACTACATTTTAAAACGTCGCTATATCAAGTGTGTTTCAGCGCACATCAGTGAATTATGGTGGCCTTTTCGTCTCTTTTTGATTCCTGTGAATGATTCTTAGCATGCTCGAAGATATAATTGGTTAGGGACTTCTAGAGTACCAGTAAGTGGGTGTTTACATTTTTTGTGAAAATTCTTATTTGAAGCGGCGGGAAAACATTCTCTACGAAGTGTCTCGCGCGTTTTATCGTAGATGAGTTGTCTTGTCCTAGTGGCACGAGCGTGTACAGAAGCTTGAGCTCGTTGATACGAGAGTTGAGTTTACACAGTAGATATCGAGGAATTCGCTCGAGCCTACGGAAGAAATTGAACACGTGAACGAAGTAGCGATTACTGCACATTGCTTCATGAGCATGAAGTTAGTAGCACATTTTAGGCGTTACAAGGAAAGTAACTTCTATGGAAGTGTATCCTCCGTTGCCCTTGGGCTAATCTTTAAAGTCATAGTACGTAGTCTGTGGGGATGTTGACACGAGCATGCACCAGTTTATTAAGTATGATAGATGAAACGAGTCACCTGCCTGACCGTAGATTCCAAGTGCACAGATCGTTTTCACGCATCTCTACATTTAGCCCGTTAACCTGTGGATGAGAGGAGGAGCTACGCGGGTGGTCACTATTCGCAGTCAGGCAGGAGCATCCCTCAAACTCGTATTGTACCTTCGATGTGCAAAGGCCTCATGTATTACGCTGTGTTCGAAAAGTCTATGAGCTAGCAAAGAAAGGATATTTCAACTATGGTCGGCAAGGTGGCCGAACTTTCTACCATATCGGGGTAGTGACTCGCCTCTGCGTACTGTGTGCTGTTGTCAGTTACAGCTACCTGGACGGGCCCACATGTGTAGCTGCACTAATCCAAACGTCAGCTCTCACAAGACAGCAGCAGAACTTTGCTTTGTTTGCAAGCAGCCTCTAGTGGGCAACATTTTCGTGACCGTAGAGGCTCCTCTTGGACTTCAGGAAGCGATGGGCTTACATCTAAATAAACGGCGAATAGGTCTTCTTATGAGAAGAGCACACGATGGTAAGATGACTTTTTACAAGCGCTCAAGTAGAGCCAAAACTTTGCGTATGGTAGAAACGCAGCAGGCTGCTACTCTTTAATTGCATGACTAGTTAACAGTGCCTGATTAGTACGCACTTGGCAATGGGAACAAAACAGGCGACGTCGCGAGCAAAGTTTGGCAAGTTGTATTTTTACTATTAGAAAAGGACAACGGGATTTGCTTTTAGTGCTGACAGAAGTGTCCACCTATAATGAAGGTTCAAGGCCATGGAAGGCTTATGGCCGAAGTGATCAGAAAATAGCATATGCATCCATGTGGCTAACTTGCTTCAGATCGGCCTGCGAGACCAGGCGAGTCTACGGACTTGAGAACTCTTTGTCTCCTCTCCGCACAGCTAGTCACGTTGACCAGGCCGGTAAGGCCTTTGACAGAATTTACTTCTAGATCAAGGTAGGGATGCCGCCCAGATAATTATCATAAGCCCTGGATAGAAAAAGTCCGTTCGGTGCTCGACCGTATTCCCAACAGGGGGCGCGGCTCTATGCTATGTAGCTCCTCTTCTTTCCTAGTACCTTTCTCCAGACCCCGGCTTGCAACGACAGCTCGCTTTGCTCATGTACTTTCTGTGCGGTCCGGTGCCATCTCCTGCCAACTAAAAGCGATACAGTAGGGAGGGTCTCCAAGGTGGGTAAAACGCGTATGAAGATCCTAAACCACGATGACCACTGTGCTCAAACTTCCTCAAATCATTGCTAATTCTATGACATACGGCTTCGTGTTTCGGAAGTTACTGCGAGTGCACCATGAGGGCGCTCTTGAGTAAAGTTCCACGCTTTCACGCTCGATGGGCCAGCTGCCGCACGCGTGCTCCAGCGGGTTGAGCTACACTACGGCATTTTCTACTCCATTGGTAAAATGTAACTAGCTGAATTTTGTGTTTGCATGTCCCCTTGATTGCAGAGTAATGTCAGCTTGATATATTGAGACATAACGGTGTGCGCTTATGAGCTAGCTGCTACCTACAGCTGGCCGCAAAAGCTATTTGTACTTCCATGGTGCAGCTTTGCACACCCTGGCTACCTGTCTCGCCTCATGTCGACCGTCTGGTGGGGCCGGAGAGAGGGGTGATAGCACGATCTGAAAAATCACCCCCTTTGAAAATCCTTTGCTAAGTTCGTGTCACTTGGAGTTTAGGGAGTTCCTAGGAAGATCGCATGTAAAGCGTAACACGCTGGATGATCGAGGATTAGCTGCTCAGACTACGCATTACCACCACCGGCCATGCTCCACCTAAGGTCTTCATAAGGGAGCAATTAGCTTCAGACTTAATACAAACCCTTCAGGTTTCTGACTACTCTTCCAAAGGAGCCCTCTAATTTTCCCGTCCACTCCCCTCAGATTTCCCGACATACCGGGAAAGGAACAGCCACGATTATCATTGCCGCCCACTCTGTGCAGCTAGAGCATTCACCATCACCATTCGCTGCATGTAGCAACTGGGGCACACGCGCACAGATTGGGCCTAACCATGACCTCTACCGTGCAGTGAACGAGATATGCGAACAAACAAACCAATGAGACAACTTCTTCATATTTTTCATTGAATAATTAGTGAAGAAGAAACTGCTTGTTTGGAGCTTACTCCTTTATATCTTCCTCACCGATTTCAAAATATACGCCCTCGTGTTCTGTACCTATCCGTCGAAAACAGCAGCGTGCAGGACATCGGAGAAGTTTTCGCAATATCACCACTCCCGAGGCATGCAGAAACACGAAAAACAGCACGAATAATAGACGAAAATGTGCTTATTAGGCGTTAATGAGGGATTGAAAAAAGGAAGAGATAAGCACTTGACGACAACGAACAAGGGACCAAACCACCACAATCGCAGCGGCACGCAACTCTCTGTAGTCAGGGAGCTTAAATGTAGGAGCCTCCTGCTACGAGGGAAACGAAAGAGAAACCAGTGTACAAATGGTTAAAAAGGCACACATTAGCTCAGCAGTGCTTGCACGCTTCAAAAAGCAGTGCCTGCATCACAACCCTGCCGGTGCATGAATTGTAGTCGATCCCAAAACAGGCATGAGTAAGAATGCATAGGAGGCATACTTGGAGGTGCGTGGGCATAAATTTGAGTGTAGAAGTGTATTAACAATAGTAAGTG